GAGATGTGTGGTCCTATGGGCATGTCTATAGGCAGCAAATTCAACAAGCTTTTAATTCTACAGGTTCTGGGATGACCCTGATTAAGGCCACAAGCTGAAACACGTCAGTCAATAAAGTTGTTTTTCATACCACAAGTGTTGCTGGAGCTCTTTTGACAATTCTACAGGTTCTAGCAAGTTGGTGCATTCAGTGGTTTGTTTTAGAGCCATTAAGTTCTTTTTTTAAAAAGTACTTTGAATACTTAAGTTTGTTTTTAAAGCAAATACTCCAGCACTTTAACTCAAATAACAATTTGACTCAGCAACTTTCACTTGTATTAGAGTAAAATTTGACCGGGAGAATCTATATTTTGACTCAAGTAATAGAGTTGTGTACTGGAAATAATCATTCATAATCTACACCAGTGGTTTTCAAAAATGTTGTGCCCAAGGCGCACCTGTATAAATATCTGTGTACAGTAGCCTCTATCATGTGTGTTATCACTCTTATCACGACATAAATGTTTGTATTTATTTACTAATATCAAATAACAATTGACAACCAACTATTGCTCGCGAAATATCTAACACAATGTTTTAAAAATTCACTTGAAACTTTTTCAAATTACATCAAAGCACCAGTAACACAGTAACAGAATCCAAACAGTAAATAATGTAAGATAATGTGATGTGTCACACACTTATTATTCCCATGTGTGAAGGGTGACAAATAGGTTTATTTTTAATTAAATAAAATTAAATTGAATTATTTTTATTTATTTTTTTTAGGTATAGTTTGCCTCTTTATTAGGAAATGGGTGTGCACAACATACTGATACAGTCAATTAAAAATTCATGCATAACTTTATATAGGTCAAGTTGGATATTGCAATAACAATGTATGGTTATCACAAAATCTCACGGCACACCTGGGTTTGCATCACACCACTTGAGAACCACTGATCTACACAAATAAGAAATTGAAGAATGCTGCTTGGTTTTCCTACCAAGTGGCAGAAACACATGGATGCATGGGCCTGATCTGTGTACACCGAGTGAGGCAGATGTATATGTCAGTGCTGACACTGAGTTGGCTCCTGGTTTGATGCTGTCACACAGGTGAAGCTTGCTACTGCCATTTAATTGGCTTTAATGCTGCCCAGCCAACTGGGATGTTGCCAGTGGTGAGTCATTGACCTCATTGCAGATATTTCTAGATGTGTTGACTTCTACTATCACGAAACTTTCACCTGTCATTACACTATTTTTAATGTGTATTAGAGGTTACAGCCTGCAAAATAAATATATATCCTGGTTATTGTTGCAAAGCACTGTAAAAGCTGCTATAACGTGTTATCATTCCTTTATTAAATAAGTGTCATTGTTGTGCTTAGTTGCTAAAGATTGTGCTTCAGCATCCACGTTACATGAACCCTCACCTTCACCACAAGCAGAAAAACATTGCACACAAATCCTTTGCTTGCTTTAGCTCTAGCTATTAGTTGAGCCCAGGGTACAGGTCAGGTATCACAGGGTGTTTTGTGGAGAGGAGGGGTAATGCTATTGGCTGTGGCACTCACAGGATGATGATGATGGTAATTGGCTAGTGCTGGATTGGGTGGGATGGGGCAGGTCAGCAGTAATCCAATAGATGGACTCACTGAGAGCTCGCTGACCTGGAACACGTATGTTGAGGGTCTCTGTACCAGACTACAACAGCGTCTGCCCTTCTTACGGCTTCTAAGAATTCATGGTGTCTTTGAGAGCCTAATTAGATACGCCATCAGTTTGGTTTGGTAACCTCTCTGTGCAACTGAAGTCCAAACTAGTCTGACTCATGCCGACTGCATTAAAGATAACAGGTGCAAAACAGCATCTATACCTGCAGTCTACCTACAAACAGGCTGCTCTTAAGTAAGCTGACAAGATAATAACCGACCCATCCTGTGTGCTACACAATGAGTAACAGCTACTACCATCAGGGAGGAGGTTTAGAGTACCACACTGTTGATCAAATAGATTTTAAATACTCTTTTATCCCTTCTTTAATTAAAAAGAATTCATCATCTAATAAATTTAAGCATCAGAGTATGTTTTATTATTATGTCCTGTCTTGTTTCCTGTAGTTGTTTTGCCACTGCCTTTTATGTATGTGGACTTTGTTGTATGGATGCAGCATGGGGGGAAGCCCAATCCAAATTCCCAACCACATGAGACGATGAAGTGAAAGAAAAGCCTGCTGCAAAATACAACATAAATAATAATCATACATACACACTAAAGAAATGCTACCGCTGCCGTCAACTTGTACTTCCACATGTCCTGTTACAACATACACACCCTTGTACACATTTGTCTCACATAAACTCTGCCGTACACCCCCGCATCCATGCCGAGTTAGTCTGAAACAGCAGTTAAGACAATCAAGATAATACTTTCAGTCTAATCAGAGCGGACACACAGAACACAGACTGATGATGTAAATGTGTCAGCCAAGTGTAATGAAGTGAGTTTAATGTTCTGTGACACCTCCTGTAGGGTGATGGCTGTTGACAATAAAGATGGAGACTATATACAGAGAAATGCCCACAGGACTGGGACTAAGTTACATGGTACTGGGTAGAAACTTTCAAACCATTGAAAATAAAGGCAAAGTCATGTGTGTGCATGTTTGTATCAGCCTGTACATATAACAGGGCTCCTTCAGTGCATGAAACAATACTGTGTGGAGGGTAAAGTCAAGACTGGACCAAAAAGGCTAAAGAGAAGAAGAATTTGGCAGGCCAAGGGGTGTTAACTGGTCTTGATGATAACCATGATATCTAAAAATGAAATATTGATATCATGTTAATAATTCACATACTGCATAAAAATATTGTGTAAATAATCCAGCCCATTTTAAATCATGTCAGTTTCATTCTCGCTCTTTTTTTCCCTTCTTCAACACCATCTGGTTGCCTTTTCGATATCCATTAAGTGTAATTGCTATTTTTGTACACTTATGGTTACAGACTCTCTCTCCACCTCCCTACACTTGTTTTTTGAGTGTAATTCATTTTGAAAAAAGAGACAAAACTATAGACTGTCTAATATAATCAACGTAGCTATCATGATGTCACCCATTTGTTTGTGGACTTCTGTTTTGAAGCCTTGAGTTTGGCATTTCAGCTGTCATTACATCTCATGTTTTTTGGAGCTAGAAGTGACCATATTTTTATGAGAAGGTGGAGCTCACTCAAAGTGGCCCTGCCATTAATTAGGTGCAACTGGAGCCCTTCTGTGTGGAGTTGGTATGTTCTCCCCATGTCAGCGTGGGTTTTCTCCAGGTTCTCGGGGTTCCTCCTGCAGTCCAAAGACATGCAGGTTAACTGGTGACTCCAAACTGCCCATAGGTGTGAATGTGAGTGTGAACAGTTGTCTCTCTCTATAGCAGCTTTCCCACTGCCTGTTCAAGTCAGGAATATCACATTGTTATGCCACCTCACTGCGCTGTATATAAGGTATGATCACAGAATGGGGGGACAGAGTGGTCTCGCCTTTCGTCCGCCAGAGGAGGTAGTAACAGTGCTAAAATGGTGTCTGTATGAACAGGACAGCCTGCAGGATGTTATGTGTGCTACCCAAAGCAGGAAATTTATAAGGTAGCTGTTAGCAGTTAGCAGCTAACCCAAAGAAGAAGACCAGCGGCTGAAAATGTCCTAAATTGGGAAAACAATGAGGTCTGGGAGCCGCGATGCAGTGTATAATCACACACTGAAGCGAAATGATGCCGCCATTGTTTGGCTCTGTGTAAAAATGCAAAGGAGGCATAAAGAAGGGACTTTGTAGCCGCCCTATAGCATGATCTCTGTGTAAAAAGTGCTTATGTGTTAGCCCTGTAATAGTCTGGCAATCTGTCCAGGGTGTATCCCGCCTCTCGCCTAATAATAATAATGTCAGCTGTGAACCCAACCCAACCCTCCAGGGACCCTTAACAGTATTTTCTGTACCAGGCCCAGACATGTTTATATCTGCTGTAAAGGTGGGCATTTTACCATGAGGATTGACTTGATTTTTGAAGCCAGCTCCAAGTGGCCATTCAAAGAACTGCAGATTCTGGCACTTCTGCGTTGGCTTCATTTTTCAACCCTAGAGGTTACTGCTTGGACAAAACGCACAATAAACAAAGTTAAAAATGACTTGGACAGATAGCATTATTTATTTATTTAAATTTTCTTCAGATATCGTGATAATATAGTTATCGTGAACTCTTTTGGCCATGACAATTGATTAGTGAGAGTCTGATATCATGCCAGCCCTACAGACCAACAACAAAAACATAATTTTGCAGAGTAAGAAAACATGTCCGAAACGTCTTAACACTCAGCTCAGTAAAACAAACCCAGACTAATGACACAAAAGTCAGTAAAAGGACGTCATGTAGGACAAGAAGGAGACCTCCTTCTTGTCCTACATGAAGGCCAGCAGTGAAGATGATGCTAGGGGCATAGGTGGGATTGGAGGTGGAGGGGGGAGTTAAACTTCCTGGACAGATGGTAGTCTGGTATTAGATGTCAGTGGTCAACTAAACCCATTGAAAGGCCACTACTGAAATAGCAGACATACTGCTGAAGGGCCTAAAGCTAGCTTTGAAAAGACCCCACGTGGAGCCATGTGAACATGTCTGCTAATCTGTTGGTCAAAAATAACTTTTATGTTTTTATTATTCTGTGGCATGCAAACACTTGCTAGCTTCATGAAGGGGTTGTAACCACGAGGATACAGTGAAATGTATTAGATTTCTGTTGATTGATTAATACTGAGTTATTAAGTAAGACTATAACTTCTTGGATACACTACCACAAGGTGTGACTCAAAACTCCTACACTTTATAAATAACATAACTGGGAAAATAAACACTGTTATATACCATAGATCTTTCTAGATTTCCAGACCCAATAGAGAAAAGTCGGATCCGGGGGTTCGTTTTAGTCAAAAGCTCAGCCAGGTTAAATCCCGCATTAACACGATTAACCCACTCGTCCATGGTAGGAGTGTTTCCCCCTGCCCTCCTTATCTCTCACTGTCTTACTGTCGAGACACACACTCAATTCTGCAGCCATCGTCTGCCTGCACAACACACAGGTAAGCTTCCCTATTTTATTTCAGATCATCCTCCCAATGTAATTTACTGAGTAACAACCAGTTTAGGATTTCATACGTGGACTGTACCATATTTGTAAATCTTTTTTTTTTCCTCTTGCAGGGTTCTCTTTGGCCTCTAAGATCAAGACAAGAGGTCAAGCCAGTGGTAAAATATTTTGAACAAAGGAGAAGTTCAAGTGGGACAAAGAAGAAAAACTCAGGTGGCAAATATTTGCCAGTGAGTTTGTCAGAACAAAGACACTGAAAGCAACGACCATGGGAAATACCACCAGTAGCGCATTATCAAAGGAGATCCTGGAGGATCTAAAGCTCAGCACCAAATTTACCGAAAACGAGATCAGCCAGTGGTACGAGAACTTTCAGACTCAGTGCCCGACGGGACGTATCACACCTGAAGAGTTCGAGCAGATCTATGCCCGCTTCTTCCCTGACAGTGACGCCAAGAGCTACGCACGACATGTGTTCCGCTCCTTTGACACCAACGATGACGGCACTTTGGACTTCAAGGAGTACATCATCGCACTGCACATGACCTCCACTGGGAAGACGACCCGAAAACTGGAGTGGGCCTTTTCGCTGTTTGATGTGGACAAGAACGGATACATCAACAAGACGGAGGTGACGGAGATCTGCCAGGTGAGGGGGAATACCTACAGTCATGTGTCAGATAATGATCAAAGGATTAGACACTTTAACTTGGTTCTAGTGTGAACAACTAAAGGTATCTACTATTCCTACAGTGTGGTCTTGCTCTAAACATTTTGCTTCTTCAGATTAATTCCTAAACATGTATCTTATCTTATGGAGAGTTGTATCAAACTTTATTGTCTAGGAATACTAAAGACAGAAATGCTGTCTCATATCATTAGTATTGCTGCTATAAACATACAATATCAAAACTTCAAGCTGCTCTGTGGCTCCTCACGGAAATGCCTGATTCTAAGTTGTCAAAGCTAAAACTGACAGACAAAATAAGAGGATTACTTGACCTGCAATCCAGTACAATAGTCCTGCTGTGAATACTACTTTTTAAGGTTAGAATCAGTGGTGTAGTGGAGGGTATACGCAGTTATACAGGGTATACCCACTTCTTTTTCTGGCCATTTACAGTATGAGCCAAGAATCCATTGGAATATATAGAAGAGTACACCCATGTCCTCTTCAGTAACATACCCATCTACCTAGTCACACCTCAACTACCACTACACTACTGTTTATAATGTTTAATATTCTTGAATTTCTATGCCGATGAGATACTGATTTAACTCTCTAGTCATTTTTAAGGTTATAGTTTTGGAGAATTATTGTTGTACCGCATCACATTGTCTAGTTATCCTTGTATTTCAACACTATCTCCTAGAATTACGTTTGTATGTTACTAAACTGCTTTCTTAGTTACATTGTTGTCGCAACGTAATTGCTGCCTGGATTATGTTCAGAGACAACGCTCCTTTCAGGCAACAAAACACCACATTTATGTACCATGTAGGCTTGGCAGGGTAGGTGGTTGGGGAGGGTGGCGAGTATACAAAATGCAGTACTATGTCACCAGCACCCCAGATACAGATTCATGCCTCAGGTTTAGGCAACAAATGCAGTCTGGCTACGTTTAGAGAAAGATCGTGATTCTAGCTAAATGTTAAGAAAAAAGTAAGATTGCCTATTTTGGTGAAGACAACAACAACTGAAATACATTGCCAGAGGACATTTTGCTGATACGTTTTGTATGAACATTCTTACGACTAGCCAGGTATGTTAATTAGCAACATTTCCGCAATATGTTAATAGTAAACATAATTTGCTCTGTATTACGTTTCCCTCAAAATGTATTTGCTGTTTCAAATTAATTATAAATAAACATAATTTCTAGGAGACGGCTGGGTACTTTGTTGAAGGAGAGTAATTATACGTACATTATGTAGGTGCAAGGCTATTAAAAACAGCCTACGTGACAAAAAAAAAATCATGCATGCACACGTATGCCGCACCACAAACTATTTGTGGTGCGGCGTACGTGTGCAGGTGTTACGTTTTCCTGGTATTTTGCCCACTTCCTTTAAAGTCTGTGTAAAATGAGTTGCTATTCGTTGGAAAGTGACCATCCCTCTTATGGTATGTAGGTCCCGACACTAATTGCCATCCTAATTAGCCAGTCTATTTGAGCCTCAAACCCCTGGTAATCTCTGTGATTACAGGGTTAACTCTTAGACAATATAGGCAGTCCTACTCTTAAGCAAGACTGCTCTTGCATTGCTCTGTCTTTAGAGGGACTGCTCATCTTTGTCCCTGAGGCTAATCCATGTTTCTTTGGATCACAAGGCCGCCACTTTTGGATTTTTGAGATGTATTGATGCTAATTACATTATATAGTCATTAGCAATTGTTTTCACATAATTAAAACTCTGATTTAGGTTGTATTTACTTTCTTTATCTTCTGTTTTAAGAGGAATGATATAGAATTGTAAGAGGTTTAGACAGATCAGCTGAGTATCCAGCTGGCATTGTAATGGGATTGCATGCCTGGCCAACTGGACTGAGGCCATGTGCATCACGTTTACAACCAGTGCACAAAATAGCCACTTTTTAAAGCCACCCTGCCAAAAGTTCAACAACCTTTAACAGAATTAGACTCTGTGGAGAGGAGGGCGATAAACAGATCTGCCATGCACAGAAACTAACATCATTATAACAGAGAGATAATCCAGTGATATCTGGTTCCATCTGTGGGTTCGAATAAGTGAGTGAGGAGGGCAGAATTAGCCAAATATTAATTTAGTCTAGTATAGTAAACCACAATAATATGGTACACAAGTTAACAGAGGGTGTGAATACAGTGTATCTGTAAGAGTATCCACATTTATATGTGATACAGATCTGATTTTATTATTTAAAATTGACTGCTTGTCATCTATAAGCTCACAGTGTGAACTACAGGCCACACGATCAGAGGGGCAAGATGGAGGGACAGTCCAGTGAGAAAAGAGAGGACATCTTGGTGTTTGGCCTGTGGCCTGAGTCTTGGCACTAATCCATGTTAATCTAGGTGTCTTAAATGTGGGAGATGAGTGCTTCCTCTCTAAGTGGGACACACACTTAAAGGCCTGAACCTAAAGTGCACCGTCATTTAGTCATTTACAATCTGCTGGATTTTAAGTGGCATATTCCAGATTCACTGTCTTGGAGAAATGACACACAGGCCGTGGGCTGCTTGATTGTACACATTGTTTACATATAAGCTGTGATGGGCAAGCCCTCCAGGACTGCTCTCGTAGCTGCATTTGGTCGGCAGATCAGACGTCGTGTGGGGATTGCAGGCTACATTTCCTGTGAGATGTAATTGTAGGCTACTTGATTTGTCTGTATACAGACAAATTGTTACGAGTATACAATGGCTAATGACAGTAATCAGGGACGAGACACAAGAGAGAGTGTTGGCCTTTAGCTTTTCTCTAAATGTCAAGTTGTTTTGCATCAGACGCTCTCTAAACCCAAAGACACTAATTAACTTGAGCTTACTCACTTGTCCTACAGGCTAAACGCTGCTTGGCTTGCACTCATTCATTTCTTGTGCGGTGTTGATGTTCCATACATTATTTGTGTGAGAGAAATGATGCGGCATTATCACCAATCTTATACCCAACCCCCCTTCAGGCCATATTTAAGCTGATCCCAAAGGAGGAGCAGAGCAGGCTACGAGAGGATGAGAACACACCCGAGAAGAGAGCCAACAAGCTGTGGTCTTACTTCGAAAAGAAAGACAACGGTAAAGGGAATTACATACATGTGTGACTGTGTTTTGTGTTCCCGTAGTGCATGACAGGTCACTGTGTTCTTATCGCTGTGTACTTAATGTTAGAGGGAGATAAAGTCGTGTATAAGCCCTTACTACCTTTCCTCAGCAGCTGTTCTTGCATCCTGTAGTGAAGATTACATTTTGCAGCTGTTTGGCTTCACAGTAATACGAGCAATAAATCCACCTGGGGGCACATCCCAACATCACATGTGTCATGCAAGCTTTATTATGTATGTACCAGCCATATTTCATGACTCCACTGCATTGCATGCTACTGTCATACACACACAAACACACACACATACACACACAGGAGATAAGACCGGATTTCTTAGATAACATACAGACGCATTATTCAGCCTCATGTTTACCCCTCATGCCTGACCGTATATCTTGTTTACTGTTTTCACTTCCTTTGTTTTTCCCCTCACAGAGCGACTGGCTGAAGGAGAGTTCATCAAAGGAGTGATTGAAAATGAGAATGCAATGCGTCTTATCCACTACGAACCAATGAAACAATAAAGTCATTCCTGTTTCTTTCCCTCTCCTTTCTCTCGTTAGACTCTACCAAACAATTTTTCTCCTCTTCCCTTCAAGCCTCAGAGGCTTCCTCCTCCGTCGTCTTCAATCTGCTCTGTGTAAATACTCCTCTCTGCAGTGTCTTGGTTGCAACTAATTTTTCAGTATGTTTCGCTCATGTCATGTTGTTTTGTTTATTGATGAATTTGTTATATTAGAGGCTAAAAGAGGCAAATGAAGATGTAGTGTTTGAAATGTGTGTGCAGCTTAAAAGAAGATTTACGGTAGGCAGGTGCTATTTGCACCCAGGTGTCCGTAGCCAACAATGTCATTTGCACTCAGTATAGAACAGCTAATGTGGTTATTTACACTTGTACACAGGTTTATACATCCTACAAATTGAAAACAAGTCAACTAAATTTAAAGATGATAAGCCAGTGTTGATTGAGACAGGATTCAATCCCAGTCTCCTGTGTGAAAGTCCTGTGCTCAACAAATTCATCGACCACATCTAACCCCATACGGGTCGGCCAGTCTGGTCCGTGGTCAGTGTTTACTTTTTCAAGTAACACTCGCGGTCCCAGAGAATGAGTGACCTGACAGTGCGTTCATAAATTCAGTCTGATGCTCTACACTAAAATGAGAGCCCCGTTGGTTGAAGACACGGAGCTTTATATTTCTATGTGAATTAACGAACGATTAAGTTAATCGCACATTTACTCCGCTCGGCTCTTTGATTCTCCAAGAGTGTGGTGCTCTGGATAACCAAACGGTATATTCTGACAGCATTATGAATTTACAAACAGTCCAGTTTGAGTATTTCTGAACACACCACTTGCATCATCTTCCGCCATAGTCTAAAACAAGCCAACAGAACTTGCTAGCTAGTGCTAGCTAATGTCTGTGGAGCATTGTTTTGCCCCCAGCTAAGCCCCACCCCACCAAAAAAACTCATACTGTTTACTAACAGTAAAAGGGTCTATACTAATTGTTTCAGATCTTGGCTCGTTAACGTGACGTGTACTAGCCAATCAAAGCACACAGTGGGATTCATAATAATTGGTCATAGGAATGGGTCTGAATGGCTGAAAAGCTTCAGTGTGACTATTCTCACCTGGGTGCAAAAACACACTCCAGAATGTGTATGATAAATATTGTACTATTGTTAATCTTTTAAATAGTACAAATTTTGGCTCTGGAGAAATTAATGCTTATAACAATTATATAAATACAGTATAATACCTGATTAAGTTTTTTTTACATTACTGGAAATGTCTTAATAGAGGTCGTAGCTCTCACATGTTGTACTCTATTCACTGTACAATCAATTAAAGGTTTTCTCTAAAATCTGTGCTTTGAAAATCAATTTATTTGTCTTTCCCATGAAACAATAAATTCCTCTATGAACCAGAAACATGCTGTGTAATAAAATACTGGAGGTTGACAAAACTGGCGCTTTCCCGACAGGAAATTCAAGAGTATCCCACATGTAAAACCTTCAACATTCAAGGTGAATTTTGGAACATTTATTTAGAGATCTCTGTCTGTATAATGTGATGTTAAACACAGTAAATACCTGAATGTAATATCCATTTAAAAACTGTTATTTCCCTGAAAGTGTGTTTTCGTGGTGCAGATCGTTTGTGTTTTTGTGTCTGTGCAGTGTCTGGGTGTGCGTGCCTGCGTTTCTTTCCAACTTTCATGCTGACCCCCCACAACCTGCTCCCCCCTCCATCCCTTCACATGCCTTCCATCTCTCCTCACTCTATTCCTCCTCCTTCTTTCCATCCAACTCGGGATTACTGGTTTACACATAATCTTCTGTTCAACATCAGAGAGCAGACTTTTCAAAATCTCTGTAATCTTTCTATCACTACGTGTCTATCGTACGGGGTTTGTCTGTGCATCTGCAGGGAGACTGTTTGTTGTAGCCTCTGGTGTACATAAAGTTTGTCACAAGAGAGAGAAGAGCTCGAAAAAGGAAACATGCCCCACTCAGATAAATGAGAAGATATTTCAGTATTTACTCTAAAGGACAGGCTGATCCGTTTAGGTATCAACAGGAGAAGAAACATCCGACCTGTCTATGCAGTGAAATGATCATTGCAATAATCTGTCCTGATACATTGCATGTTAAAGGTTCTGTATGTAACTTTGTACCAGTATTAATTGGTTTTTATTGACAGTGGTGAACAGGTTGTAATGTAACTTAAAAAGTGAGAGTTTCCTCGACTTTCTCAGTTGCCTTTAGCAGGCTGTGGATCAACTTCTATGTAGAGGACTCGGTCCAAATTCTTATCAAACAGTTCAATGGATGTGACGTAATGTGCGTTGCTGAGTTCCTTGCCTCTCTCAAGCTCCACTACAGTGTGGAGCAGAGTCCACGTTTCCTGCTTCCGTTAGGCCTCTACACAGTTTGCAGCAGTGGCCCGACAGAAGACAGATCTTCACTTAAGGACCTGTAGCAACTCAAATTTAGGACAGGATGCTGACTGCTGTTCACTTAACTGAGGTGTCACAAAAGGATTCTCTGAAGGTTACATACAGAACCTTTAAAATATGAACAATAAAATAATATAAACATGTGTTAACATATGGAGAAACATTTACTTTGCTACCATGAGGCACTGAGAAATACCCAGAAAACATGCAGTCCCGCATGTCAGTGTGATATCTATACACTGTAGTCTTTAACAGTTTGATCAGTTTCATTTGCCTTAAAGCGTCTTTAGTACGTCCCAACTTCACTGAAAGTCAAAGTGGAAGAAAAGAAAAACTGGATCTGTTTGCTCACATCGATCCTCCTCCAGCACGATGATAGTGTCTTTACGTTTTTCAGCCCTTAAAAGTTGATGGATATAAATGATCCTCTAACAAGGTGAATCGACTCGGTCCATGGCCTCATCCATCTCATCCATCTCTCTCTCACAGTCTTCACACCCCTCTGGCCCGCAGCCTCCTACTAATACCAGCGTTGGTACGTCCCCATTGCTCACTCCAACCACACTCCCGTTCGGGGCCCACGCTACGTCAATCATACCGTCTGGACACTGCAACAGGCCGCTGACGGAGTAGAGCCCGCCCCCTGGAACAACTTCATCATAGGCGGGAGCGTGAGTGGCGGCTCTTGCTTCCTCCAAACGGAGCCTCTGTCTGCGACGGAGCTCAATGATGGTCTTTGTGTAGGAGTTGAGTGTGACCACAGCAGCCCCCATACAGCAACTGAAGGACACCCAGGCAAGACTGAGAAGGGAGGAAAGAGACACGTCATCAGAGCCTATATATAACTTTGTATGTATGTGCATTAAAAGCACAGGTGTCTCTAAAGAGCAGCCACCTACGCAAATGACCAGCCGTAGTCCCAGGACTGAGGCCTCCAGTCTTTGGGGCCCACAATGACTGTCATCTGAAATACTGTGGTGTACATCATATGGGCCACCATCCCAAGAAGACCTACATAGAGAGAAACATATAAAAACCAGACAGAATAAAGAGCCATGCAAATCGAAAAGGTTATATGGATAAGGAGGTGGTTATAAAGTTAGTGAAAGAACGAGTCTCACCTGATAACACGGTACAAATCGCTGCGTACGCATTGATTTTTAGCGAGTGCATCTCTTTATGGGAACACAAGACTTCCAGCCACATCAGTAAGAAGCCCATCCCCAGCAGGCCGATGTACGTAAACTCTGAAATAACTGACAGCCAGAGCACACCTGCAACATTTGAAAGCACATACACAATTGACGCACATGGATCCGTATTGAAAATAGCAATAAAAAGGGGTCAAAATAATGATAATTTCGTGGTTTTATATTTCAGGTGATACACAACTCACCTTGTGTTTCTCCAGGTGTTAAGTCTATAAAGCTCCGACATTTCTCCCCTGCCGACCAAATTTACAGATACGAACAAAATAAATACAATAAACATTTCTTTGAGTTCAAATTAAAAGATATTGTGACCAGGCGCTAGTGTATTAGTTTATGTGTGACTGGACGTGCGGTTTGTGGCCTCACCATCGTTGTGTTTCTCGCAGCTTTCCCAGAAACCAGTGTGGAAGTATCTAAAAGCAAACTTGTCTTCTCCCGTCTCCCAGATGTATTGAACTGCATTGGCCAGCTGTCTCTGTCTGATCCGGGCCAGCTCGTCCCTCCTGGCTGGAGACAGTGTGCGGTTGAAGGGGTTCTGAGTGGGACTCTCTGTTTGACAGAACAAAGAGGAAGACAATGAGGAGAGCATTTTAGGAACATTTTTGTACCTGCCTATACTTCATAGGATGATAGAGTTAATGGCAGGAGCACAAAAATGCACTTGGTGGACCATCAACTCACAGACTTTGGTTCAATCCCAGAACACCTTTTGCCCCTAGCACTTGACTTTTACCCCTCTGTTTTGTTGGGACAGACGGGTAGTGAAAAGTGATAGGGCTTGATAGTTTTCGGCGGCACACTCCAAAGTTTTGACAAAGAGTTGTGAGAAATCACTGCCAAGATGGCTGCACAAGTAACAGAAGAACCACAAAATGTATTTTCTTTATAATTAATATTTAAAACAACAATAACCATCATATTATCTTAGTTTAATGTTGTTTCAATGTATTATAGTCCTTTTCTTTGTCCCTTTCTTTCCATAGAAGTAGCCTCCGCTGATGTTTTCGGTAGCTAACTAACTAGCTAGCTAACGTAACATTGTTATTGCTGATTTGTGCATGACGGTCCTGCGTTTTGACATACGCATATGATGCCTGAAATTAACTTTAGAGCAGCAAAGTTGTTCAACTTGTAACCGCTCCTCTAATATCAGACTGGCAGGATAGAACAGGCCCCCACGAAAGCTGCTCAGCCTTTTGGCAAACTTTTCCCGGTGGCTATTCACGCTATTGCAACATAAAGTATTGTGGCCGAAAAAGCGTTTTCCCATAGACCACCATTACACAAGAGACGTCTGTAAAACTGTTGACAGGACACCTAAAACTGCAAACAATGTTAATTATGAATTTTTCTCCAATGAATTCTTGAACCATGGAGGTTTTTTCTATTTGTAAAACTTTCCAGGAAGCTAGAAAACTTTCTTGGTGTATGTGCCAGGTGAGCAACTCCATTGGAAAGAACAGTGTCGAGTTATTATTGAAATCTATGGGATAGGAGCAAACAATTGCAAACGTTAGCCTACAGAGCACTGCTAGTGGCCTGGAAATGATTGTTGACTTGTTTGATCGATTGATAGCATGAAACTTAAGTTGTAAACAAATTGCAAGCATCCGTACTTTTCTATCTCCATGGCAAGTGATAAAACCAATACTGTCATAGTCACACCTGTTTATGTAAAAGCCATCTACAACTACTGATGATGTATCAGAGTCTTGAAGGGTGATCCCATTTCATAGGAGATGATTTTAACTATTTCACCCTTGTAACCCATTGTACCCCTTGCCAAGGAGCAAACTTCTAATAGCTATGACTGTAACTATCTAATAGGCTCTTTAACTGAAGATTTTCCATTGGGAAAAATGCAATGCACCAAAAGGTCAGAGAATTAAATGACAAACACACACTTTGCGTGCAGACGTGTGTTGATGCAGAATTGATGGAAATTAAAATGGAGTATGTGCTTCAGAATGAGATGGATACTGTACATAACAGTGTGCACAAACCAAGTCTTAATCACACCATGGCCTCGAAAGCAACACGCCTCTGTGTTTTCCAGTCACACGCAGGCTTGTCAGGCAGCACCCTGTATCAAAAATGCGCTGGCTGGAACATCTCTCCAGAGACATATAGAGATACAGAAACATGCGTGCATACATCCATGTGTGTATTTGTAAATCATGTCTAGAAGCATAAGGGAGAGTCAAATCCACCACTGTAAAGGTAGATCTTTCTGTATGAGTACATAAAGTACATGCAGCGATCAAAGATGATTCCTCGGTGCAGTAAGAGCGGTTAATCTCATTGTGGATTAAGCATATCTGTTGAGAAAATAAAAACCAGGCAGCAGGCAGTGCACTATGCCCCACGGACCAATAAACCTTTGGCATCTATCCTCACACCCTGCAGATTTATACTAAGCCATAATTCACTGTGGGACCTAGGTATGTGCAAAAAGAGATTAAAAAACATCAAACCAAGGACATTCAGTTTCTCACATGGGGAGAAGCCTGTCAGTTTATCCACTCAGATTAGTTTGAGGTATTGGTTGTTATGCAGTGACAAGAAATTCAGTACTTGTGTAATCAGGTTCAAAAGTCAAGGCCAAAATTTTGTTAAAGTCAACGTCATCAAGCTGCATTTTATATCTTTGGCGCATTTTGGAAGACTCATGAGACGATGCACGACAATAAACTGACCACACGAACAGACACTCAAACAAAGATGAGACATAATATATTGAATACACTATTAAAGAGACAGTATCGCTTTGTCAGCTGTGTCTTGTCATCTTCTGTCCTTACTGTTACATCACATATATTTTTTGCTTTCTGTTAAAACCTGGCAGCTCATCACCTCTTTAAACCACCAGAAACATCTGCCCTCAAAAAACACACAACAGCGATGTGTCTCTCCAGAAATCATGACCCAAAATGATTATGACATTGATCGTGATCCATGAGTAGATGCACACTTTCTTCTGTGCCATGATACAGTTGGTGGGTGTAGATTGGCACAAAGAAAATAGTTCCTACATGAAACTGCTTTTATGCTGCTAGGTATAAAGCAGCATAAAATGGAGATACTCAAATACAAGTATCTCAACATTTATCTTAAGTACAGTACTTTATGTTCCACGGTGGTGAATGGGAGTATTTTACAATATTAAGCTTTGAGCTGGCCTGAAGCAGAAGAAGACTGAATGACAAAAAGTTGCCAGGTGACTGATCCTAGTATCTGTTGCAATACGTTTGCAGGCATATCAGTTTGTCATAAACTCATCCTACATGACGTCAGCAGTTAGGTGATGTTTTCCTGTCATTAGACTTTTGCAATAGTCAGGAATGATGTGACTGTTTAAACCGTACCGACCAGGTTCCACCCGTCACACTCCACATGTTACTGTCTTTCAGATGTATACTCTCAACAGGATAATGCATCATTGTTTTAAACTGCTTTAAGAAACGCTGTTCCAATTACAATCAGTTATTTGTAACAGTGTCATTGTTACTTCTTAAAAATGGGCACAATTACCATTATTTGACAAAGAAAAAATCCTGACTCCAGGTCTTCTTCCAAACTCTTTCTGAAGCTTTCAACTGCATTTCACAGCCCATATCAGCAGACCAAACTGAGATGTGATTGAAAGCTCTTTCTGAAGGAAAAAGCAATTAAGTAGACTTAAAGTCAAGATTGATTTGTCAAAGTACTATTCCCAAGTTCAAGAATGAGAATTAACTCATTAATGCATTACATATTTAATGTGTTAAAGAGACAGTTCACCCAAAAATCAAATATACACATTTTCCTCTTATCTTAAGTGTCATTTATTAATCTGGACTGCTGCAATGTAAGTTACCAGGTGTTATATATCGGTCGTAGAGATGTCTGCCTTCTCTTAAATATAATGGAACTAGATGGTACTCAGCTTGTGGTGCTCAAAGCTTAAAAAATAAATAAATGCATTTGAAAAACTCAGCAGCAATGTCTCTTTCCAGAAATCATGACCCGGTTACTAATAATCCACAAACCTAGTTGTGAGCAGTTCCATTAGGATCTATTTTCTCTCTACCGAAGTACACCATGTATTACTGCGCAGGAGGAACAGTGCATCTACTGCTAACTCACCTAGCATCACTGAGCTAGCTAACGTTACAGCTCAGTCAAGGAGGGCGCCTTCTGTGTTTACATATTGCCCTGTCAAAAGTGCGAGGCTCTCGTCCATGAGTAGCTGCATGCTTCCTTTCTGGCAGGTGTAGTTTGTTAGAAAGAAAGTAGTTCCTCCCCACCCAGAAGGAAGCGTGCATTTACTCGTGGATGAGAGACTTGTACATGACAACCCGAAATTTAAACATTAATGGCGTCTTCCTCGGCTGAGCTGTGATGTTAGCTAGCTTAGTGATGCTAGGTGAGCTAGCAGTAGATGCACGGTTCCTTCTACGCGGTGATACAGTTGGCAGGTGTAGTTTGAACTATTTTCATTCTATGAACTTCTCCCGCCAACTGTATCATCGCACAGAAGGAAGCGTGCATCTACTCATGGATCATGATCATCAACTGTTGAGTTTTTCAAATGTATTTTTTGGCGCTTTGAGCACTACAGGCCAAGCACCATCTAGTTCCATTATATTTGAGAGAAGACAGACATCTCTATGACCGATATCTCCAACACTCTGCAACTCACACCAAAACAATCTAGACTGACAAATAGCACTATAGTTAAGATGAACAATATGTATTTTTGAATAAGTGGTAAACTGTCCCTTTAACAGTAACTGTACATCTCCACCCAGCCTAAATTCTCTGCTGAGACGCAAATCATTGTCAAACTCAGGAGAGAGCTGTTTGCATAAATAGGGAGGTGCTCCTAAAAAAGTAAATAGCTATTAAAACAATTGTCAGTACACAAACAGAACACAATAAAGCTGCTCAAAACAGCTTTTGATGTGTAGATGTAAAAGACAAAGTGACATCTACCTGTGGTGTAAGGCTCGCTGTTGTTCTGACCACAGTTCTTCATTTTGACGGGCGACAGGCAGAGGGGCTTGACCACCTTGTGGGTGCCCTCACACCAGTAAGAGGTGCAGAGAGCCAGGATGGAGAGGGCCAGAGCCAGAGTGGTCAAGGTCAGGGAGAGCAGGGAGCGAGAGCGACGGGACAAACGCTCCAGCATGGCCACACAGGTGAAGAGGGAGGCGGGGGGGGAGGCCGGAGAGAGAGAGAAAGAGGGGAGAAAGCCAGGCAAAGAGGGGGCAGGTGCTGCACGTGGGGATAGGACAAAGAAGGACAGAGGGTTCAACTACTGTTACAGATGGAGCCGTGAGGGCAGCACAGATGTTTCGGGGTGGTTTAAAAGAGGTGATGAGCTGCCAGGTTTTAACAGAAAGTAAAAGATAAATATGATGTAACAGTAGGGACAGAAGATGATAAAACACAGCTGACAAAGCGATACTGTAAACTCAGCGTGATTAAAAGAGAGGAAGATAAAGGGAGCGGGAGGGGAGGGAGGTGGATAAGATGCTCTGAGGTTGATACACGTGGGAAAGGACAGATGGAATGAAAAAATGAACAAGAGGGGATTTAGGTGGACGACCCCAGGAGAGATGCAAGGACATAATGGTGTGCTGGCCAGACAGCTTTAATGTGATATCCTGCTATTGATCCGTGTGGCCATACATCCCCTGACCTCAGCAGTGGTGGACCAGTTTGTCTTCACTCGATGTGACAAGAATAAAATAAAAAGAATTTATTGTTAAAAGCTGAATATCTAAAGAGGAGATAGAGGACATCCTTAAACCCATCTGGCAAGAAAGTGAAATTAAATGGTTGAATGAAACAGAGGCTAAAACCACAGTGTCCATATGGTGACATCTAACATTGTTGGAGTCATAAACCCGCCTGAGGTCACATACGTCCTCCAGCTGTGTTTACAAGGAGAGGTTATGGAAGAATAAGTGATGTGCTGCTAATATCTCCCTGCCTCCTGATGAACACACTCAGGCCCGACCCTCATTACGAGCTCCACTGCTGGACCCTAAGTGGAAGAGAAGACGAGAAGAGGGGAGCACAAACAAGAGATTACTGTTTTTGATGAAATTATGGATAAACCACAGATCGAAATGAATTTTTTGCGAGTAATCCCTCATAATCTGCTTGTGTTAGGTGTGTTTTAGTGTGAAGTGTGCTCTGACCATGACTGCTGTCTGTCTCTCATGCAATATTTCAGCCGACAGCCCCTGAAACACAACAGGACAGTAGTGAAACCAATATAATTTGCATGGGAAGTGATTCATGTTGGTTTCTATTTGAATAACAGACGGTTACAACTTTAGAAAATGGAAAGAATAAAATCTAATGGATGCCCTGAACAAGATCACTTTGGCCACACACAGTCTGTCTAGTTATTATTATATCTTGCTTTTATTTCTTTACTGTTTACAACCAATTACTCAGGTGCACTATCAGTATTGTCAACTGTGCAATATCTATACTTCCATCAGTCAGTGATGTAAAATCAAATTTGTACCTAAATCAAATTTAGTCAGTTCCTTTGTTATATTCTGCTTCTTTTTAATGCTTCCTTATCATATTGCTTTGTGTTTTTCAACTGTTTTCTTTTTAAACTGCTCCTTGTTTTTGTACAGTTTTACGTACTGACTTTATGTTTTCCTACTGATGCTTCCTGTTTGCATTATCCGTTTGCCGCTGTAATGTTCCCAATGTCCCCGCTGTAGGATGAATAAAAGATTATCTTATCATATTTACAAAAAAATGATGCAAGGGCGAAATTCATGTAGCATATGTCACAACAGATCTCATACTTTCATTGTGTATATAAACTGGGGGCTACTGTTTTAAAAGTGTAAGGACAGTGTCACATTTCACATTTTAATTCACTGTAAATGTGAGCTCAGTGTGAGTGATAGTGACTGGGTTTCACTTTCTTCACATTTATCTTCCCAACTGTATTTGACAGCTACAGAATTCAGGTCTTAATCATGTCTAACATCCAAAATCTTTTCAGGTGGACATCTCTGAAGTGAGATCTTAGCAGTAAAAGGGTCCTGGACATGAAAAAGGTTCAGAGGAGAAGCACTGGACTAAAACTAAGGCAGCCTTAATACCTGCTTTATGTCATTTCTTAAATGTTAAAGACAACTATATGTTTCTATGGTTTTCAAAAGACCTTTGAGACATAACTCTTGTAATCACCTGATATTATCACCATTGCTTACGTCAATGTCAAGACAATCTCCTTTTAAGAACATTACTCTTCGGCCCTCAGTTACAACACACTGATCGCACAGTACAGTGTGTGTGTGTGTGTGTGTGTGTGTGTGTGTGTGTGTGTGTGTGTGAATAAATTTGCGAAAGTTTACAAGTTGGATGCACACTAATCCACAGATTTTTTTCAGAGTCTGGTTATGCCCTGATGTTATCACCATTGTTAACTCCAATGTTAAGACAGTTTCTTCCTAAGTAAGAACGTCACTCTTCAGCCTCCAGTTAAAACATACTGAACACACAGTGCAGTGTGTGTGCGATATAAATTTGCAGAAAGTTTACAGCGTGAACAACTTGCATGCACACCAATCCACAGATTTTACTAGAATTACCACCACAGCATGAAGAAGAAGAAAAAAACAATATAACTCTTACAAGAAAACAGTAAATGAAGTTTCTGTTTTTCAGATGCTTTGGCAATTTGTCTGTCTTGACAAATGTCAAGTAGCTGATTGGCCACCTTCTGGGGACAAGCTGATATTAAGTTTGTTTAGTTTCTATCCTGGAAGTGAAAATACTTCGGTGTACATCAGTCTGCCTCTTTGGCACAAGGATAAAAAATATACAGTCAAAGCTTACACACACGGTGCTTTTATGTCAGTTAAACGTATCATTATGATGAATTGGAAATCAAACAAATCAAACTGTCCTAATATAGATATTTATGGATACATTATCAATGGAACAGGCAGCTTCAGCTCTTTGTGAATAAAGCCATGAAGATGATGAACCCTGGAGTTTTATAGATTTAAGATCTTACAGAGGGAAAATGGTTCATGAATGAACTTAATCTATTTTATCTGTTATGTTTTGCTCGATTTTGTATTTGTGTACAGTGTGTATGCTATATGTAGTATGTCAGTGTGCTGTCCTCCGTCATATGTCAATTCAGAACTATAAATAATAATTATTTTTTTATTTTTTTTTTTAAAGTGGCTGATTAGAAACCAGATGCCATTTGCCTCATTTGTCTGAACTCATTAGCAAAACATCTGAAAGGTGTATAATCAGTAAATCAGAAAGCTCAAATTAGGCTTAAACTTTAATAGCAATATATATTTTGGGGGCTGTAAGTCAATCATTTTCTTCATTTATTGTTTGGTCTATAGCTTTGAAAATTGTGGAAAATGCACATTAAAATCTCCCAGAGCCAAACGTCAAATCTTCACATTAATTATTTTATCTAAACATCAGTGCAAAACTAAAATCTATTCAGTTTACCTTCATAAATGACAAAGAAAAGCATCAAATTTTCACGTTTGAGAGGCTGGAACCAACAACTACTATTTGTCATGTAAAAAAATGAAACAATTTGTTTTTTGGTGATTGACAAACCTGTAAGTTAATTATTTTCTCGTTTTATCATTTGGTCTTTAAGTCAGAAAATGGCGGAAAATCCATATTAAAATTTTCCAGAGCCAAAGGTCAACTCTTAAAAAAAAAAAATACCTATTTTATCCAAACATCAATGCAAAACCCAAATGACAAAGAAAAGCATCAAATTTACCATGAGAAGCCAGAACCAGCAACTAGAATTTGTCATGTGAAAAATGACTTAAACGATTTGTTTTCCATTGATTGACAAATCTCTAAGTTAATTTTCTCGATTCATCGTTTTGTCTTTAAGTCAGAAAATAGTGGAAAATCCACATTAAAATGTTCCAGAGCCAAAAGTTAAATCCTCATCTTACTTGTTTTATCCGAGCATGACTGCAAATCAAAAATCAACTCAGTTTACCATCATAATTGACAACGAAAAGCATCAAATGTTCACATTTGAGAAGCTGGAAACAGCAACTTGTGTTTTTTATGTAAAAAATGACTGAAACGATTAGTTCCCAGGTGATTGACTGATATCTTTAGCTCTAGTTATTTTAGAATGATCAGTGATAGGTACCTACCAAAGATCTTTTTCTTGTCCCCTGTGGTACTTCAGGTCAAACCAGTTGTGACTTCCTGCAGTCCTGTAACCCTACGGTCTCTCTGCCCTTAATCAAAAAGCTCCTTAAGAACTATTTGCTCCATCAGGGACAGATTCTCTGTGTCACTGCCCTCTTCATCTTTCTCTGTCACTAGTATTCCTCCTCCGGGATGAGCATCAGTGACCCTTACCTCTCCGGCTGCACTCCTCCCTTTAATCCTGCTGGCCAATAGTCAGTCAGAGATGCAGGACTGCTGATGGAGTGATGGAGTGATTGAGCGACTGAGCGTCTGTCTCCATGCCACTCTACTCTCTTTTCTGTCTTTCTTGGGAATTTATGTCACAAACCCATCCTGAATCATGTAATCCCTCTAAGTCCATCTGTTACTGTAGTGCCCCCTCTCTTCCTGTGTCTGTCCCTTTTTAGACTCTGCTCCTTCGTAACCTCCCAAACCTCCCTGTGCCACCAGTCGAAGCTCCTCACCAGTTTAACTTTTGCCACATATTTAATTATAACACAACAAGAGCTGAATGAAACTGTGAACCAGTGTATCCATATGAATGGGCTTTTCCTTTTTCCTCCTCTAATCAGCACCAGCACCGAGCAAAGCTAAATCCTGTGCCCACTAAGTTAAGTGTTTATTTTTGGGTGCCAAATGTCACGTTTAAAAAAAAGATAAAAACAGTCTGACAAGCTTTCTATAGTCACAATAATTTATTTACAATATGTATGTACAGAAAACTGAAAAAAAAAAGACATAAAAATGAAAAAACAACAACATTGTGTGCATGTTTGGAGGATGAATTTAAGAAAGAGGGAGTTGTAGAAGCGGTTTAACCCCAGGCTTGAGATTTACAGTAATGAAGAACCAGCTTGTTATCACTGCCGAAACACTGAAAGAGAGAAGAAGAGACAGAAATGTAAATGTTAAATAAAGCAATATCACAAAAGAGTGATGTGACAGTATGATTCCAATATGACTGTGTACAGAACTGATCTTAACAGTCACAATTCATTTGATATTGACCTGTCAAGCTGTGAGAGCTGATGTCCAGTGTGAATACTGGACTTTGCCTTTGTTACTTTAACCAGTGGTTTAGGATTTTGGTGTTTGAAACATGCAGCATTCCTCTTATTGCTCCCTCTGCTGGTCACAGCTCCATATGACACATTAATGTTTCATAGGCTGGTTCTCTCAGGCCTGCCAATTTTAAAGGCTACCACTCTTAGGGTGTTTTTACACTTGGTCCTGTTCAGCCCTCTAAGTGGACTCAGAGCTGTGACTCAGCATTTTTTGCACATATGTGAACACTCCAAGAGAACTCAGCCCCTCTGAAGTGAACTGTAATAGTTCGGTGAGTTCGGTTCTCTTCAAGTCTGTGATGCGGTTCATTAAACCTGTGCACTGTGAACTCAAAGCGCTCCAGGTTTGCTTTGCTTGTTGCCATTGTATTTAGCCCTCTAGATCACATGCTGTTGACCTGGGACGCTTGAAAAAACAGCCAAAACCATGCCGGCATGTAACGCTTGCAAGGACACATGTTTATATACAGTACAGGCCAAAAGTTTGGACACACCTTCTCATTCAATGCGTTTTCTTTATTTTCATGACTATTTACATTGTAGATTCTCACTGAAGGCATCAAAACTATGAATGAACACATGTGGAGTTATGTACTTAACAAAAAAAGGTTAAATAACTGAAAACATGTTTTATATTCTAGTTTCTTCAAAATAGCCACCCTTTGCTCTGATTACTGCTTTGCACACTCTTGGCATTCTCTCCATGAGCTTCAAGAGGTAGTCACCTGAAATGGTTTTCCAACAGTCTTGAAGGAGTTCCCAGAGGTGTTTAGCACTTGTTGGCCCCTTTGCCTTCACTCTGCGGTCCAGCTCACCCCAAACCATCTCGATTGGGTTCAGGTCCGGTGACTGTGGAGGCCAGGTCATCTGCCGCAGCACTCCATCACTCTCCTTCTTGGTCAAATAGCCCTTACACAGCCTGGAGGTGTGTTTGGGGTCATTGTCCTGTTGAAAAATAAACTAAACGCAAACCGGATGGGATGGCATGTCGCTGCAGGATGCTGTGGTAGCCATGCTGGTTCAGTGTGCCTTCAATTTTGAATAAATCCCCAACAGTGTCACCAGCAAAACACCCCCACACCATCACACCTCCTCCTCCATGCTTCACAGTGGGAACCAGGCATGTGGAATCCATCCATTCACCTTTTCTGCGTCTCACAAAGACACGGCGGTTGGAACCAAAGATCTCAAATTTGGACTCATCAGACCAAAGCACAGATTTCCACTGGTCTAATGTCCATTCCTTGTGTTTCTTGGCCCAAACAAATCTCTTCTGCTTGTTGCCTCTCCTTAGCAGTGGTTTCCTAGCAGCTATTTGACCATGAAGGCCTGATTGGCGCAGTCTCCTCTTAACAGTTGTTCTAGAGATGGGTCTGCTGCTAGAACTCTGTGTGGCATTCATCTGGTCTCTGATCTGAGCTGCTGTTAACTTGCGATTTCTGAGGCTGGTGACTCGGATGAACTTATCCTCAGAAGCAGAGGTGACTCTTGGTCTTCCTTTCCTGGGTCGGTCCTCATGTTTGCCAGTTTGGTTGTAGCGCTTGATGGTTTTTGCGACTCCACTTGGGGACACGTTTAAAGTTTTTGCAATTTTCCGGACTGACTGACCTTCATTTCTTAAAGTAATGATGGCCACTCGTTTTTCTTTAGTTAGCTGATTGGTTCTTGCCATAATATGAATTTTAACAGTTGTCCAATAGGGCTGTCGGCTGTGTATTAACCTGACTTCTGCACAACACAACTGATGGTCCCAACCCCATTGATAAAGCAAGAAATTCCACTAATTAACCCTGATAAGGCACACCTGTGAAGTGGAAACCATTTCAGGTGACTACCTCTTGAAGCTCATGGAGAGAATGCCAAGAGTGTGCAAAGCAGTAATCAGAGCAAAGGGTGGCTATTTTGAAGAAACTAGAATATAAAACATGTTTTCAGTTATTTCACCTTTTTTTGTTAAGTACATAACTCCACATGTGTTCATTCATAGTTCTGATGCCTTCAGTGAGAATCTACAATGTAAATAGTCATGAAAATAAAGAAAACGCATTGAATGAGAAGGTGTGTCCAAACTTTTGGCCTGTACTGTATATCATATATAGGCTGTAGTGTGAACAGAAAGAGGACCGAGGCCCCATCAGAGCTGAAATTGACCAGAAAGAGAGCCGAGTCCTCTTTCAAATGAACTGACAATGTGAACACAAAAAGAACTGAGTCCCTTTTCTGTTGGTACACTTTTTGGTACACTTTAAGAGGACTGAGTTCAGTTTGTTTAAAAAAAGACTCTATGTGAAAACACCCTCATAGTCCTGACAAAAACCAGGAAATGCGACCACATGACTCCAGTTCTAAAATCCTAACACTGGCTACCTGTCACTTAGAGAACGGATTTCAAAATCTTGCTGCTTGTGTATAAATCATTCTGTAGCTCAGCGCCCAAATATATCTCTGACGTGCTTGTGACATATGAACCTTCTAGGACCCTGAGGACGTCTGGGGCCGGCCTGTTGACCGTCCCAAACGTCACAACAAAACATTGTGAAGCAGTGTTTTGTTATCATGCAGCACAAACCTGGAATAACCTCCCAGATGATGTTAGACAAGCCTGACGCTGATCACTTTTAAGTCAAAGCTAAAAACATTTTTTGTTCCTTAAATGTCAAATTATTCACTGGGGCTCTGATCAGATCCTCTTTATTGTGCCCTTTGTGTCCAAAGAAGTTATGTTTTTAGTGCCTTTTGATTTGAATAAATTACTGTATTAAAGATCCGTTCCCAGTCTTCATTTAATTCATCTAAAAACATTCCATTTTCTCATCTTTAAACAGATTGCAAATGTTTTCAGTAATGCCAACACTCTTCCTCTCCCTATTTAGTTTTTTTTTTTTTTTTATTGTTGCGTCGTACAATACTGTTAAATCGAGTGTTTGTATGTACTTACATCAAAGAGGACTCCTACTTCTTGATCCGGTGAGGGGGCAAAGGACTGGTTTACATATATGAACTGAGGAAAAAAAGAAAGAAAAGAGAAACAGATATGTAGAGAGTTGCAAAACTTTCCAAAGCTTCTGTCCAAGACATGATTTTGTGAAGTGAACAAGCCACAAAACAAACTTCATTCCTACCAGCTGTTCACTGCCATCAAGCTTGAGGAAGCGAGAGATGAACTGCGACAGGGACTGCACCGTCCTCCCCCTGTCCACTGCCCACTTCTTTGTTTTCATGATAGGAGTGTCTCCCACTGCCTTCAGCAACACGTCAACTGTAAAAGTAGAAAACATGAAAAGTGAAAGTGCTGCTGCTGCCACCAGGAGTGGTCTGGGCAAATCTCAACTTGCATTGTTCAGGGGAATTTCTGGAAAAGTGTTGTTAAATACAGTGACACATAACCGCTATTCAACAGTAAGAAAACTGAAACTGTGATGACGCACTTCCAGTACGGACTGAGACAAAATAGTACAGAACCACATGTCATACAAGAAATGAGCAGTGGGCTTTTGCACAATATGTTATTTTAGCCAACAGTTTGTGCAACACTTCCGTCCCTTAAAACACTTCAGATGTGTATTCAAGTAAGTCCTTTCCTGTTGGCACAAGTGTAAACTACATTCTCCATGTGTACTCCTATGAAAAGCCGTTTATTTGTTGTAATTATACGCATCAAGATTCACTGTTGACAAACACAGAAAACTTAGCTTTATTACAATAAACTTACATTGAACCTACATGTTTAAAGATTTCCTTTTAGTACGGCGGATAAGCTCTCAAATTATGAGGAATTGTGCACTTTTTGAAAAAAGCATGAAATTTCTACCATAGTTAGTACATACCATAAGGTTTATTTTCAGATGTGGAGGGAAGTCAGATTTGACCTCTGAGGCCCGGGAGAGGTCAAATTCAAGATGGCCGCCAATAATATTCAAATATGCTTAACTTTGGAACCAAACACAGTAGAAAAACATTTAAGGTGTCATTTCCAACTAAGTTTAGGGTGCCCATTCAGTTAGTGATA